AGCGGGTTCTACGCCATCTTGTTTCACTGGAAAACGAGCGAAAAGTAAACAAAGCAAAGAAAACAACGAAAACCAAAATTAGCCAAAATTATTGTCAGCCACTTTAAACGCACAATTTAGGTAAAATGATGCAACAAAATGCTTTAAAATGTGTTGTCATGTTGAATTAACTCTTCTTTACTTGAATAAAAGTGTAAAATAGTGGTGCTTGTGATGTAAACAAACGCTCAGCTGACGAACCCGCTTTCGCAAACTTTTTTCTCAAAACCAGTTACAAATACAACGTCGCGTTCTTACGTGATCTTGTATTTTTGGTTCATGGGTTAGTGCCTAGTGGCTTTTTTAGTGCGTTTTTTTGGACTCAAATTTCTCATGCAAATGAAATAATTTGAAATATTTAAAGCTGTGGCAGCACTGAACTTACAAGAATCAATAAATTTAAATGCACTAAAATGCAGCCATGATTTATAAAAAGAACAAGTTGCAAACCTTCGTTCCCGTACACAGGTAATTTAAGTATTTCTGTTTTCTTTTCTAATTGTACATATTTTGGTTGATTACACAGTTCGCCAAATTTAAATTTTTTTACCTCCTGAGTAAAACACATCGTGTCTTGTTAATTATTTGGCACTGATCCAAATCTGGCCACAGAATTACTCTAGCTCGTCAGAATTTTGAGGTATTCATCATCAAAGTGCCAAAAACACGGTTTTGCCTATGTTTGAAGTTACATTGTGAAAACAACAAATTTTTTTGCTAAATTCTACTTAAAATTTAGTATTACTTTTCCGCTTTACAATTCTTTTTCCTTTGTTCCGATTCGATTTCCCTTCCTCGAGATATACAAGCTTAAATGTGCAGTACTTCGGTATTACCTCGTAAGCATGAGCCATGATAGCATGTTAAATACTATAAGCTGTTGTGAAAAAAAGTATCCTTTGATTTAAAAAAATTTTGTGCTTTTAGTGTGGTAAAACGCTTTGTTTTCCAAGTTTTGGTGCTTTTTGAAAAAAAATTGGCAACACTGCTACCAAGTGAGAGCGAAGAAAAGACAGAAAGCAGACACAAAAAGGAAATCAAGAAAATCGTGTCAAATGCAAACATTGCAAAACTTTTTTTCACATTTTCATAAGGAAATATTTTGGTAAAAATATTATTTTAAAAGAAATTTAACGCTATAATATATACCAAAGTGAATATATTTGTTTTTAATAAAAAGCCTTGTGTAATGGCCACTGCAAATACATAAGACCGAAGGGTGGTGGTGATGGTGAAAAAAGTCTGAAAGCGTAAATGCAAATGTTGAACGTCTTTATTTAAAACTTTAGATTTCTTTAATACTAATGCGATAATTTTTGCTAGGATTCAAGAATTCGTAGAAAGGGGCAAGTAAGCGGTATAATTGGAAAGGATTAAACTAAAAAATTTCCATTGCCCACTAAGGAGCACAATGCCCGAGGATATGAGTGTATGTGTGTACATGAGGATAAAAATGGGAACGAAAAAAAAAGAAATTATGCAAAGATATTTTGTAACATATCATACTTTTTCAGCTAATTTTCCTGATCCCTTCTTGTACATTAAAAACATTCGTCTATGCAAGGGAATTTAGTTATATGCTTAGCTGCTTTTTCCTGGTTAATACATATGTATCTCATAAGTTTTTCTTTTCATTTTCAGATTTCATTAACAAATTGATGAGCAAAACAAACCAAAAAACGCAAAAGAAAACGGTTAACAAATGCTAAAATGAGAGAAGTAGTTATAGTATACAAATGGAATTGAATAAAACCAGACAATTTGTCAAAAAGTGATACAAGAACATCATGGAAAACTTCGCGTACCACAAACTTTAAAATAGTTGGTGTACAAAAAATTTTTAGAAAACTACGTAAGAAGGCGTCTACGCTTAGACGGCAGTGGTATTTCACTCCCGACTAAAAAACATTTAAAAAAGGGTTACATTAAAAGACAACTACAACGGAAACGGCATACCTCTAATAATCTTAAAAAGAAAATTAAAAAAAAATACCAATAAGATATCAAGGATACACATGTTTCTTAAAAAGATTAAGTAAAGTAAAAGTTTAGTAAACCAAAAGAGGCGGAAAGTTAAAAAGTGCAAAAAAAGGCGATGTGACATAGTAATTGTGCTACCCACCCACCATAATTGTTAGCAGTAGTGAAATCAATTAATACTATATGAAACACTGAAGAAAAGGCTATTTATAGGAAGTTAATATTCATTAGGTTCGCCAGTATGCCAGCACCACTAACTGGAGTAGCAAAACTAATAACAACAACAAGCAAAGGATTATCTTCGTATGCCTGTGTTTCTTCTAATAGAACGTAAAGGCACATCAATTGTTATTGAATTCAATAAATTGGCTTAAGCGCTCCCCGAATAGGTGGATTCCTACTGCATTTCTGCGACTGTAAGCCATTTATTTGCTGTAGAATTCTATTAAATAATACCGTAAAATTGAAAAAAATATATAAAAAAAAAGTCGCAAATACAACGGCATTCCAACTAATTAAAATTATACCCTCTGCAAGAGTACTAAAGCGTATATCTTATGTAATAAAAGTAGGCCACACAGAAGCTTTTTTTTGCTTATATAAAGGCAGAGCTTTAAAGGTGCTCTAAGCATTCTCAGAGCTGGATTTGTGTTTTGGGTTCCAGAAATTTTTTGGCGCTTTTATTTGATGCACATCTCAAAGAGGGAATTGAATCAAATTTGAATGTCGTCGGTGATTAAGTTTTATCGAAGTAGGAAGGATTCACTGGCACCATGCAAAGCTTGGATTCATCATGTCAAGAAGCTGATGTAAGTACAAAAGAAAATTTTACAAAATTTAATTGAAATTTAATGTATTTTTCTGAATTATTTCATTAACTCTGCGCTTCCTTCTTGATTGCTCTCCACCGCAATGCAGTTCATAATAAATGACACGCTTAAAAAGCTAAAAGGCTCTAGCACTAGCATTAATAGCAACAGCAATTCGACGTTACCGGCGTTGAACTCGAGCGGCAGTGGCAGTAGCATATTGAGGCAACAACATCCGCATCAACAATTAATTTATCAACAGCATCAATCTATTCCACAACAATCGAAGCAACCGCCATACTCACACTATCAGCATCTACAAACTGCGCTGCAGTGTCCCGCGCCGCCACAACAACCACAACTATTGACATCTCCACCGCCACCAGCACCACTGAGCAGCGTAACGTTCTCCAGTAAAAGTTCACTGCTTGACTCAAGTCTGCTACATTGTAATATCACACAGATTCCTAGCCAACCTCCTTATTGCATTTTCGATGATGGAACTGAATCACCAAGTGAAGTACCGCCTGTTGAAATACTCGCAACAAGTAATAGCAGTAGTGCTGGCGGCGGTTGCGGTAGCAGCAATATCGGTAGTAGCACAAGTGGCTTGGATGGAATTGTGCTACTCGCTGAACCTTCAACGAACGCGTCAGCGCATGGTACAGCTACATCTACGGTGCCATCACCATCGTCCTGTTCATCATCGACAAATCTTTCCAACTTTAATTCAATCACTTCCCCCTCGCCGGTAGTGCCCGATTTATTGTTATCAACACCGCCAGGCTTAAATTCTACAACATCACTCGGCGAATCAAATGTAGCTAACATCGGAGTTTATGGTAGCTTGGGAACAAGTGCATTTCTAACATCTTTAACGCAGTCGTCACAATTCTCCACAGCAGCGCATCAAAGCAACAATAATAATATTACAATAACCAGTAATAACAATAACAAAAAGGCTGATAAACGTCCTTCCGCGTCCTTAAGTACACAACAACAATACCACAGCAATCATTCACATCATCATTACCAGCACCACTACCAACAATCATCAACAACAACGCATCTTCATCCACCTCAGCATTTGTTAAGTACATCATCGCCCTTGGCTGGTGCGCTGTCATCGTCTGCATCGCCTACCTCCTCGCCTAGCAAACGGCAAAAAATTTCAAAAGAATCAACAAGCCGATCATCACCATCAACATCGTCCGCGCGTAATTCTGGTAGCAAGCGCGACAGTAGCTCGTCGTCGGCGGCATGTGCATCTGGTAGCACAACAACATCTAGTTCAGGTGGCGCATCATCATCATCGCCGTCATCTAAGTTCTTTAACATTCACGACAAAATACGCGAAAACTATCTACAATTGTTGGCTAATGATTTAAACTCATTCACGGAAACTGGGGTAAGCAAATGTACTATGATTGACTAATAATTATCCTAGAAGTTCAACGCATACTTTGTTAGGTTAGATTTAGCGCATATTTGTTAGTGCGCTCTATTTCAAACTGGAAACATTGTCTTTGCTTTTTGGAATTCACAAGATTTAAAAAACCAGTGCTGAAACAAATTTGGGGTCGCTGAAACTCAAAAAGTCCTTATGTACACAATTATTAAAGTGAAGTTATTAATACAATATGTATTGTAACTCCAAACCTAACCCTTTTTCAAGAGTTCCTACCTTATACAAGCTCTAATTATCGACTTTTGCCCAAAAGATTCAAGTTTGTGGTGAGTCCGCCCGGGCCCGAGCTTTTTAAGGGACCTGAAATATCAGAACCATAACTTGTTAATATTTTTTTTACAATAAAGGCTTTTATTAGAAATATATTCCGATTCGTGCTGATTCCCTCTGACCCTATACGCACATGTTTTTAAATTAATGTAATTTATGTATAAGGGCTCGTGATTTTTCATGGGGCTGGATTTTCTCTCGACGGCGCTGAGTCGTAGTTAACGATACTGAAAGGATGTAAGAATTTGCAATAGCCGAACAATGGCAATATGTTTTATATTTCCACGCCATTTCATAAAATCGTTCAAACTACTGCTTTTGTAACGTTTTTACTGATCAAATTAAGCTTGATATCTTTTAAATAATAATAATAATAGATTGGCGTTTACACATATGTTAGTGTTTGGCCGAGCTTTTCATCCAATTTGTGGCGTGCGTCTTTTTATGAGAAGCTGTTTTTCATGGCAAAAATGCACTCGAAGGTTTGCCATTACTTGCCGAGGGCCGACCGCTGTCAAGAAGAACCCTTTTTTCTATTTCTTTTTTTGCGATGTTGCTTTGACCAGGCCTTGAACCCGGGCTATGCGGAGTGGAAGCGCGCACTGCTCACCACTACATTACAGCGGCCTTATCTAGCATGCTAAAAATATGTCATTAACGTCTCCGGTACAAAAAGTTAATCCAGAAAATAACTACCATTGATGGCAATAATAAACAAGTTTTTTTCCCAACTTAAAAAGTGTCGGGCAAACTCCCCAATTCTCAATTAAAAAAGTCCACACCAGCTATGCAATGCCAAAAAAAAGATTATACTCTTGCATAAAACTATAATTAGTATGTGCCTAATCTATTTGCAGCTCAAACAGCGTTCGCGTGCTTTTGTTCTGGAGCGTTTGGTAGAAAGTGAAAAACTGAATACAATTGTTGTAAACCTATACCCGGGCAATAAAGGATACTCATTAGCGTTACACTATGACGATCGGCAATTGTTAACGCCTAATGGCGAATTTGTGCATGCAGGTGATGGGTCGGGTACTGGTGGCGCGGAGAGCATACAAGCAGGTACGAGTGGCACTTCTTCCGCAACCACCTATAGAGGTGCTTCTAGTCGTAGCATTGGCAGTGGTAGTGGTAGTAGTAGCAGCAGCAGTAAACTAAGTTTCGCCGCTATACCGCCTGATTTAAAAGGCGCCGGTAATGACTATGAAAATGCCTCCGACTTGAAGCTCAAAGTTGCTGGCGGCAGAGCCGATGAACATGGCTTACAACAACATCAACAACATGAGTACCCACTGATCGAAGTACTGCGTTGGCCCTACGAAAATGATCAATTGCTACAGTGCATTGATCGTGAGGTAATACCGGACTTTCTTGTTGACATGTTGAATGCGCCCAGCCTCACATTGAACGCTTCGCACGATGACAGCGAAGCAGCACGTACCTACGTTAAGCCGAATGTCTTCTACGCTGGCTGTGTAATTGCGCAAATACGCGATTTTCGACAAACATTCGCTATTTCGACGAATATCTGTGATACGAAACACGTCCTTCTGCGGCCCACAAATGCCACCATATTTGCTGATGTGCAGCACTTGGCCAGCACAACGAATCTGAACATTAATCCAACGACATCGGCATCAGCTGTGGCGGCAGGGATTTGTGGTGCAGAGGATAAATTACAACTGGAAAGTCAGTTAGTGCTAGCCACTGCGGAACCGTTGTGTTTGGATCCCGATCCTAATATCGGTCGTTTTGCCATCAATGCACAGAATGCGCGACAACTGTTCAATACGCATGAGTTGCGACGTCAAATGAAAAAGTACACGCAAATTTCAATAAATCGAAAACGAAAATTGGATCAGTTTACTCATCATTACGGACTTGAGTTATGTGACTACTTGACACGACTGCGCGCACGGCCACGTACAAGTAGCCTGGTGAACGCTAATGCCGCCGCGGCCACAGCGCCTAGCAGCAATCCCCTGGTGAGTGCAATGCTCACTTCGTTCTCGTCGAAAGTACCACGTCGACCGCGTGACGTCATACGACCGATACGTCCGCCACGGCTGGAATATCCATCGAATCTGAAAGTACCCGAGCAGCTTATAAGTGTGGAAAAGTATGCTAAGACGTATGAGCGGCCACGTGAAACCACAGACTGCCAGCCGCAATTGATCGAAGAGTACGTGTTGGAAACTGAACGTGAGGAAAATGCTGGGCGACGTGTGATCTATCACATAAAACTTTCCATTTTTCAACGACCCTCGAATTCTGAGTACCTGGGTGAGCTATATGTCGATCGCGATTACCGTGAGGGTGAACGCAATGGTGAGTCTTGTCGCTTTTCGTTGGGCACACGCATACATGCGAATCGATACATACAGCAATTCACCGAGATTTTCACCGAAGAGGGACGCAAAGCAGTTAAAATCACGCACTTGGTGCCGGGTCATTTGCCCAAGGTAACACACACAGGCATCACACCGGAACAGCGACAGGCCTTGCTGATGCAACAACGACAGGCGGCACTATTAGCAGCACAACAACAACAGCAGCAACAACAACAGCATGTGCAACATGCTACGACCTCGGCGGGTAATGCTCAGCATGTTACTGTTGCAGCAGTGGCTAGTGGAAGCACCACAGCCAGCCAACACCAACAACCGCCGCAACAGCAACACGTTGTGTTGGTCGGACCGAATGGCCAGCAACAGCACATATTGCCCGCCACCGTACAACACATAGGCACTGTTGGACATCAACAACAAGTTGCGCAAACTGTTTGCGCCGTTGGCGGGGGCGTGCAGCAGCAGCAACAACAACAACACATTGCCATAACGCCAACAGGCGGTAATTTGACGAAGAATATCAACATTGTCGGGTTAACTGCCAGCAATGCGGCTGCTGTACAACAAGTATTGCGCCAACAACAACTACAACAGCAGCAACAACAACACCAACAAATTACAACACAATTTATAGATGCGAACGGCACAACGATGCACATACAGTCGAGCGGCGGCAATGTCAGTAGCGGTAGTGCGGGTATTATTCATGCGCAACAGCAGCAGCAGCAACAACAACAGCAGCCAGCGCAACACATCCAACTACATTCGGTTGCAGGTGGCAATACTCATACGACAACGCAGCTAAGCCTTAGCAACGGATCATTGGTGTTGGTGCAACAACATCCACTTACGCAAGCGCAGCAACAACAGCAACAACAAACGCAAACGCTGCAACATGCCGGTATTACTATACAGCCCGCCAANACAGCAGCAACAAACGCAAACGCTGCAACATGCCGGTATTACTATACAGCCCGCCAACTTGCAGCAACAACAACAACAACAGCAGCAGCAAAAGACTCAGGTCATCACGGCGGCGCAATTGAACGCCGTTACTGGCACAAATTCAGCGTTGCGCACACAACTCAGTTCCAGCGTGCCAATATTGGTATGTATAATAAATTATAGTTAAAAAATCCCAACAAATATTAAAAGTTTTGCAAATATATTGACTCCAGTGTCACCTGAATGGTCGGGTTTTAAAAAAAGTTTTTATTCTTGCTGATCACTGAAAATGAGTCAAATCATCAATTTTATCAATTATATTGTATTGTCCTTAAGCCGTTCACAAATTTTCAATTTAATCCATTGTCTGAAGTTAGTGCAAATAACGGTGAAAGATTGTTGACGAACTGTCAGACCATTTTTAAATTGTTTCATTTTCTTGTTTTTTTTTTCAGCAGGCGCAGCTCAAGGCCGCGCCATTACTTACTGCACAACAGCAGCAGCAGATCTTGCATAAAACCACACAACAGCAACACAGTACTGCCAGTAGCAACAATAGTAGCAGTTCGACGACGACGACATTACACACAAATCCTGCGATAAATGCAATCTTCACCAATATCATGAATAGCGCCAATCAATTCCAACAACAGAAGCAACAGCAGCAACAACAACAACAACAGCTGCAGCAGAACTGTGAGTAAAATTGTACAGGCAGTCTAATCCATTTTTATGCAAATGTTTCCCATCTTATTTATTTGTAGCCAACAATAATAGCGGTGGTGTCAGCAACCCTAATGTGAAAAATAGCAGTAACGCCTCCATACGCAGCTTATTGAATAGCGCACCTGCCGCTATGACAAGTACACCAGTGGCCAGCGGCACTTTCACCACTTCGACCGGCCAACATCAGACCGTCACACAGGTGCAACATACATCTTCAACGCCTCAGCAGCAACAACACCAGCAGCAGCAACAGCAAACAATTGCGAGCGGTGAAAACTTTGTCCAGGTGACAACACAGCCAGCCACTGTTTCGGCGGCGACAACAGTGCAGCAACGTAAGCAGACCAACAACGAAGTGCTGCAGAATCTCCTTAATCCTAATCGAAAATTTAATATCGTCACCAGCGGTGGCAATATTGTGACTGCCAGTGCAGGAGGCACAACCTTCCGTACTGCAGCGGGCAATTTGGTTGCTGTCAATCTGAACCAAGCAGCCCAACATCAAAACCAAGGCCAGGACGGCCAGCAGATGCAACAGCAAACGACTGGCACCCAGGCACATCAGACGGTGCGCGTGTCAATGTCGGCACTCGCCTCACAATTAGCTTCACCGCCAGCGATTATGACGAATCCAAATGCGCCCAACTTTGGTTACACAGTGAGTGCGCTGGGTGCTGGTGGCGGCGGCGCCACGGTGAATACTGTAAGCAGCGTGAGCGGTGCATCTGGGGGCAGCATAAAAATACTCAATAGTGGCGCGCAGCAACAACGAGTTGCGTTGGCAAATGCATTACGACGAGACTCTAGCAACACAGGTGCCCCACCGAATGCTATTGTTGTTGGCGTGGCCGCACCATCACCTGGTAGTGACTCGAATGCGTCAAATGCCAGTGGCTTTGCGGTGCCGCAGCCAACCAGTACCACAAATTCAGTTGGCACCGCAACCAGCTTGACACTGCTAGGTGCGGCAACGCCGTCGCCTTCCGGCTCCGATCATTCACAGTCGTCATCACAAACGCAGAATCAAGTACTGCTTGAGCGCCTTCACAACAGTAGTGGAACTGCTGCGACTGCGATGCCAAATATGTCTCCACAACAACAACAACAAGCGCACGTGCACACACAATACCTAGCGAAAACATTGGTGCAATCGCCAGCTGCTGCCACATCCATACACTCACCCATGTCTAGTCCCCATCCACAGCCATCGCCCTCACCACAGCATCACCACCAGCATCAGCAACAACAACAGCAATCAACTGCCTCCAACACGACGACTACGCTGAATTTACAGGGTATTAATCTCTTGCAAGGCGCCATAGCTAATTTTCCTGGACTGCAGAATGTGCAAGTGCAAATACCGGGCTTGGCTCAGCCGCTTTCGTTGCAGCTGCAGGCCGCTGTGCAACAGCAGCATGGCCAATCACAACAACAGCAGCAGGCGCAATCTAACGCTGCCACTGTCTCGTGCGTACTTAGCAGCGGCGGTGGAGCGGGTGGTGCTGCAGTAAGTAACAGCAACGCTGCGGCCGGTGTGGTCGGTAGCAGTGGCGTAGTTGGTCAACAGCCACATTTGCAACAACGTAGTTTATTGGTATCAGTTCCTGTCTCAACACACAGCCAACAGCAGCAACACCAGTCGTCGCAACAGCATACAATAACGCTGCAAGCGGCAACGGGGACGCAGCAAACGCAAAATCATGTGCAACATGTACCACCAACAGGTACGATTGTGAATCTACCTACTGGCGGTACGGCGACCACTGCCGGTACACAAACTGTGATGCTAACGAATACCGGTGCGGGTGGTGCTGGAACCGGTGGTGCTGGTGTCGGTAATGCAGGAAATGCAGCAGGTGGTGGCGGTGCTACAGCAACAATGCTAACATTGCCAATTGGTAAGTTGAACATTTTATATACTATGAGACTTAATGCTTAAGTAGTTTTTTAGAAATATTGATATCTTTGGAATGGGTTTGAAAAAGTAAAATTTTTTTTTAGAAGATTGCATTTGTGGCATGTTTTATTAGGTCTTCCAATCGGGATTTAAAACGTATTATGTTTGCTTTCACGATTTTTCTGCGAGGAAGAACTTCTAAAATCTAAACTATTGATATCGCTCAATATTGTTGAGTTACGGCGGCACATTTGCTCCGCCGGACCCAAAGAAACAACCCAACGCCGAGCCACCACAAGGCTGCAAAGCATCTGTCTTATTTTCACATGAGCTAAAGTTCAGGGAAAAGCCAAATCCAAATCCACTGTTTCCGACGGACAAGCATTGAGATGCAAAATACTTTGGTCCGACCAAATTAGAAAATCTAACTGAGGCTTTCTTTTCAAGTTCAGTAATTTTCGTGCAAACTGACCTCCGCCACACCACCGCAGTATTTTTTCGAGATCTAATCTAAGTAGAAGCCCTCGAAGGTATTTAACTTCTACATCTAGAAGCTTGCTTAGTCACCACAAGTAGTTTAACTGATCGTAGGCATCCACGTTAATAACCCTAACATTTTAGAGCTTGCCAGCCCCCAGCGCACATAACTGTAATTGTAAATGAAGTACACAGCCACAACAAGGTTCTCAACTTGTTGGCAGCGCTAGGGCCGGTTCTAAATTATGCAGCTCATTGTATTTTTCAAAGAGCTTGCCTTAATCGTCTGCACATTGAAGACATAACCTTTATGTTTAACATTGCAATTGTTTGAAAACTTTAAGAAATGAGCCAGCCCTTGCCTTCATCCTATAATAAGTTAAAATTTATTTTTAAAAATATAATTTTTTGTATCATTACTTATATAAATTTATTTCGCCCAAAAACATACAAATATCAACGATAAGCAAACTAAAATTATACTTCAAAAATTTGCATTAAAATTGCCGAAACTACACTAATTCTTTTTTCTTTTTGCATTTCTCATTGCTTCCTAACGAAACAATGCTACCCTCCTTTCCCTGAACACATTACTCAACTCAAACCTCAAAAAAACACTCCTTGCATATCACAAATTGATACATTATTACGTCATTCTGCTGCACATACAATGCTTGCACATCATATAATTTTACTTTATTTTCACACTTTGTTATACAAATTTGAAAATTAGTTTAAACTCAAACTGTACTTAAATATGTAAGCAGAAAGCTATGTTCCCTCCTCTCCGCACCAATTAGCTGCACAAGTGTAACATATTCACATATTCAAATATAGTACACACAATGTTCTTGTATGTAAATGTCGAACAAATTTTGATACTTGTAACTACTTGTTTCAGTAAACAAACCTTGCGAAATCAAATCGCTTCCTCACTCCTTTTTCCACAAATCTTGCCCTGTCCACCCCAAAGCCGCACATGCGACATGTTCCTTACTAACATTTTCATTTAACAGAAAGAGTATGTAGAAATTATCATTTTGCCAAAAAGTGTAGAACAAAAGCAACAACAAATTGTCTAATATTTAATCACATACAAACGTTCGTTCACTCGTTCAACCAGTCAACCAATTCATTTAACCAATAAATCAACAACATCAAAAAAATCAAAGCAACAACCCGCGTACTTCCCCTTTCAATTCCAGCTCAATTTGTTGGTCCCGGTGTACAAAAACTAAATCCTCAAACAATCCGTACCTCAAGTGGTGGTGGTGGTGGTGTTGCAGGTGGCAGCATTGTAATACAACAGCAACAACAGACGCCACAACAGCAGCAGCAGCAAGTGACGCAACAGCATCAGCAACAGGGCCATCAATCGCAACAACAACAACAACAAACTACTACGACAATAAATGTGAGTGGAGTTGCCGCGGGCAGTGGCGGTAGCGGCGGCGGCATTGTCAGTAGTGGTCAACAGACAGCAATTCAATTGGTGGGCACCATACAGCAACGTCCACGCAACATACAAGTTGTCGGTACGAAACAATTGAGCGGCGCACAAAGGCAATTAATTGCGACGCAACGCAATATTGGCAGTTCGACGTTGAAAATCGCCGCGACACCAATTAATGGTAAGACATGAAATTATTAACTAGAAAGATATGCAAGAGAAATTTTTATGAATCATAAACATGCATACACCTGTGGCCAAAATATGTGCATAATAGAAACACGATATTGGGTTTATTTAATATTTATTATTTTTTATAAAATTATAGCTCAATATCAAAAACCATTTAAGTCAAAATCTCAAAATTCATGGAGAAAGTTACAAAATTCTAAAATCTAAATTTGAAGCTTTTTAATCAGAATTTAAGATTAGTAGTTTGGTATGCAGTTTTATAGTCCGTTTGATTTTTGTATAATAAATTGGAAGTTTGGAGTTGCTAAAATATCACGTTGATTTTTTATAATTTTTATTTACCTGAAGGAGTTAGTCATTTTCTTCCATACAAAGTATGTTCGACAAAAAATTATTAAAAATCAACAAAATATTTACATGGCTTGAGCAATACTTTTATAAAAAAAGTATAAAAACTAAATAAACAGAAGAAAAGATGTCAAAACTGGTCAAAATTTTGTGTTTCTGTTATTTTGTCCATTGGCGTACGTATGTATGTACATTAGGGCGGTCCACAAAAAAGTTTGAAATGTAAAGCTCTCACCCCCTATGAATTTTCTAAATGGAAAAAATAATGACCGCTTTTTTTAATATATATGACATATTTAGAACTGCCCCAAAGACCATTAAGTTTTCCATGTATTTTTTATGGGGAAAACACTTTTTCGTAAAAATAGTATAGAGTTCTTGAAAAACAATATTTTTCGATCGGAAAACTTTTTTCTCTTTAGAATAGTTTCAAGAATGCATATTTTTGGATTCTTAAAGGACCTAAATAATAGGGGAGAATGGTTCCGTGCGCAGAAGTGGAAAGCATTTGGCTGCCATTCACCTGGGAGTGGCCAGAAGTGATTCTTTTGCGTACGGTTCAAATCGCAGCTCAACGTCCGGATATTTATATCCACGTATCCTCTAAGTAGCAACCAAACACCCGTTTGGGAGCGAGCTAAAGTGAAAAGGTGTAAAACTTCGCGTGCGCTGGGTTTGGGTCCCGCCACGTTATAATCCCCCCGAATGAAAAAGTTCAGAAAGCCTCGGATGAGACCCCTTTTTTTTATTACGATCACGGCAAATGTATAAAGGACTATGATTTGAGGTTAGCCATGGAGAAGTAGACACTTTGAACGTACCGAAAGGTTATGTAGATCTACGTAACTTTGATGTCTGCTATGATGATGTTTATACACAACTTTTAAAGCTGAAGGTTAAGAAAGGAGCTGGGCCAGATGGACTGCCGAATTTGTTCTTGAAAAACTGTGCTATCGGCTTCTGTGAACCAATCACACATATCTTTAGTAAATCCCTGCAAACTGGTGTGTTCCCCGCTGTATGGAAGATATCTTATATCAGTCCCATTCACAAATCCGGACTGAAGTCAGACGTATGTAATTACCGACCAATTTGTATCCAATCGTCGCTAGCTAAACTCTTGGAAAAAATGGTATTGCCCTGTATGTCCTTCGCATTCAAGAATATCATAACTACCAGGCAACACGGATTTACATGTGGTAGGTCGACATCCACCAATCTATATCAATACGTCACCTACATTTTGGATAAAATGAATGGCAATAAAGATGTGCACGCAATATACACAGACTTCAGTAAAGCTTTCGACATGGAGGACCACAACATACTACTTGACAAACTTGTTTTGTATGGAGTAAGAGGGAATGCTTTAAAATGGTTTCGATCTTACCTGTGTGAAATATATCTGCAAGTCAGAGTCAATGGCTATATTTCTAGTAGTTTTGCTTCTACTTCTGGAGTTCCGCAAGGATCACATCTGGGACCAATTCTGTTTAATATCTTCATAAATGACATTGGTAATGAACTTAAGTCTGAATATCTGCTCTATGCAGATGATTTAAAGATATATAGAAAGATAACCAGTGATGAAGACGTTGATATGCTGCAGCATGATATTGATAAGATCCACGACTGGTGTACAACGAATAAACTCTATTTAAACACGAGAAAATGCGCTGTTATGTCCTACTCCCGTTCGCGTAAACCGCATACACCTGTATACTGGTTGAACGGTCAACAATTACAGGTGGTCACAACCATTAAGGACCTTGGTGTAATCGTTGACAGTGAACTAAGTTTCGCCAGCCACATAAAAAAAATTGCATTACGAGCACACAAAACGTTAGGGTTTATTCTCAGATCTGGCAAAGATTTCCGAAATCCGTACACTCTCATCCGACTGTTTAATGCACTGGTAAAACCAATCATTGAGTACTGCTCTATAGTTTGGTCACCGTTCACAGACCAGCTTGTCAATAGACTGGAAGCTCCTCAGCACAAATTCTGCAAGTATTTGTCATACTTTTTAAGCTCTTTGGGTGTAACCATGAACACCAATGAAGTCTACAAACATTTCGGAATCAGTAGCCTCATGAGCAGAAGGCAAGTTGCCGACCTGTCCTTCTTCTACAAAGTAATCAATGGTCACATTTGTTCACCTGAAATTCTTGAGCAATTTGGGTTCATCTGCCCCAAAGTGGGCCTCAGAATCAACCGCCAACTCGAAACAACAAGGACGACAAAGAACTACATATTGCACGGGCCTAACAATAGAATCGCAAGACTTGTAAATGAACATTGCTCTACTTTAAATTTCTTCGGAGGAACTCATGCGCTGTTTATGAAAAACGTGAAGGATCAACTACTTCTTACTTGAAACATCATACACAGCTATACGATAGTGCGCTTGTTATACTAGTCTTTTTACATTGAATTGCGTCATTGAATTGTTTAATTGTTCTTGTAATGTAATTATCCTAGAATGTTTAATGTGTTAAATTATTACATTAGTACAAAGCCGATTGGCGTTAAGCATTAAGCATTAATACATTAAATTAAATATATAAAAAATTATAGTTATGCACCTTATCCAGACCCCTAATGGGGATGGGGCCTCTGCCCGGCTGGTTGGTGTCCTCGGGAAAACAAAGGCTGACATCACCGCCATCCAAGAAATGCGATGGACGAGGCAAGGCGAGGTAAGCGCAAAGCCTTACGGCGTCTACTACGGTTGCCACGTAAAGGAGCGCAAATACGGTGTTGGATTCGTGGTAGGAGAGAGACTATGTCGCCGAGTACTGGTGTTCACCCCGGAGGACGAACGTCTAGCCACAATCCGCATCAAAGCGAGATTCTTCAACATCTCGCTAATCTGCGCCAATGCCTCGATGAAAGAGAAGGACGAGGCGTCCAAGGATCTCTTCTATGAGCGCTTTGAGCGTACATAAGAACGCTGCCCTCGACACGATATCAAAAACGTGCTCGGCGATTTTAATGCCAAGGTGGGCAAGGAGAGGATATTTGGCGCTACTGTCGGAAAATTCAACCTCCACGACGAAACGTCCGATAACGGACTGAGGCTGATCGACTTCGCCGGGGCCCGAAACATGGTAATATGTAGTACTAGGTTCCAGCATAAGAAGATCCACCAAGCTACATGGCTGTCTCCATATCGAACAATGGGAAACCAAATCGACCATTTTGTGATAGACGGAAGGCATGCTTCCAGCGTTATAGACGTACGTACACTCCGAGGGCCAAACATCGACTACTATCTTTTTGCGGCCAAGATACGCACCCGCCTATGTGCATACAAAAATGTGCGCCCAACAATGCAAAGAAAGCTTAACGTCGAAAAGCTGCAATCACAACAGACGGCCAATTTATTCGCCATTTGGCTCACACACCTGCTCTCTGAGAGCCCTCGTCAACAAACCGACATATGGGAGCAGTGAAACCACATTTCCGGCTCAATAAGTACCACCGCCGAAGAAGTAGTCGGATTTCAGCGAGCCTGAAAGAACAACTGGTACGATGAGGAGTGTCAGTAAGCTGCAGAGAAAAAAGATGCCGTCCACAGGGCCACGCTGCGATCGGGCGCAACGCGTGCTATGTGAGGCGCTATAAGGATCTGAAGAGGGAAGCTGCAATAAGAGAGAGGCCAAAATACGTGAGTGCGAAGAGCTTAAAATGCTGACCGACAGGAAGAATTCCCGAAAATTTTACCAGAGAGTTAGGCGACTTACGGACGGTTTCAAGACCAGGGCGAAGTCCTGTAAGAACAACCATGGTGACCTAGAAACCGATGTCCAGAACGCATTTAAATTATGTAAGGAGCACTTTTCCACCCTATTGAATGGCAGCAGCACTGAACGTAGTGGAGCAGACGAACCCCAGCCCGATGTCGGATGAAGATGGAGTCGATGTCCCACAGCCTGACTAGGACGAGTTACGAGTAGCGATAGCTGAAAACTACAAAGTTGTTGGAGCTGACAGCCTGCCAGCTGAGCTATTCTAGTGCGGCGGCAAGGAAGGTTATAGGTGTTATCAAGTGTATTGTGTGAAAGATTGGACCTTATCAGTGGACAAAACGAAGTATCTCCTGTCATCACACAAACAGCCAGAGCATACGCGTCGTTGCACACACGTCACTATTGACAGTTGCAAGTTTGAAAAAGGCGACGACTTCGTTTATTTGGGAACCATCATTAACACCAATAATAATGTCAGCCTTGAGATCCAACGGAGAATCACTCTCGTCAACAAGTGCTACTTTGGACTGAGTAGGCAATTGAGAAGTAAAGTCCTCCCTCGTCGTACAAAGATCACACCCTATAAGTCACTCATCATGCCTGTGCTGGTGTATGGCGCGGACGTATGGACAATGAAAACATCTGATGAAGCGGCTCTTGGAGTTTTCGAGAGAAAGACTCTGCGAAAGATTTATTTATTTTTTTCAGTCGATTTAACGATGAGCTGTATGAGCTTTATAACGATATAGACATAGTGCAGTGAATTAAAATTCAACGGCTCCGCTGGCTTGACCATGTCGTTCGACAGAAACGCTCCTGCTCTGAAACTGTTCAACGCGGGCCGCGATGCTGGTAACAGGAAGAGCTAGGCCTCTGCGTCGGAAAGACCAGGTGGAGAAGGACTTGGCTTCACTTGGCATTTCCAATTGGCGTCAGCTGGCACAGAAGAGAAATGACTGGCGTGCTGTTTTGGACACGGCTAAAATCGCTTAGATGCCAATAAAGAAGAATAAAAAATAGTTTACATGAAAAAATGGTTAAATAAACGATTGGGTACAATATTGGAAGCATTCAAAAGAGAAACAGAGTTTTCCGATCGGAAATCAGTCTCATTGGGAGTGTCGTGTCGAGTACCAGTCGCAATTCGAGAGTCGAGTCGTATCGAAAATTGCATGTCATTGTCTAACATTTCCACTCGACTTATGTGCTCAAACGGAAATACTTGGCAGCACTGGATAATATTCGACAATTTTCGTCGTCTACTTACTTCAGCACGACAGTAGGCAATGCTAATGTTGTCGACTCGTGCAATTTGGTCTAATTTACGAGTAATGCGACGAGGCTGATTTATTTTCAATAATTCTATACCATTTCTACGAAAAGGTTCTCTTTTTCCATTTAGAAAAATCCTAGGCGATGAGAGTTTAACTTAAAAAAAAATAAAAATTCGCCGCATGTATTTTTGGACCACACTATCGCCGCCCGTATGTTAAAAACATGAATGTGGGAAATCACGCAAGAATTTTTTTTCGAGATTTGACTCTACATTCATGTAATTGACATTGTAAAATATGTCTTTTCTGGGTTTTGGAAAGCGCGTTTTTTTTATAAAAAGCTTTTCATATTTCGAAAGTGTCACAAATACTTACATTTTGCCACACTTCATCAATATTTAATGATTCCCTCATTTATGTTAAAAAAAAATACCAAGAATATACAGATAGAATCAAATAAAACCAATTTTGCTTCACCTCGCTTGCTTAGGTTTCAACAAATGTATAATTAATTTTGACTGCTGATAGTTTCTGCTAGTTTGGGTTAAGAAACGTTTTCATTTCATTTCATTTTCATTTCATTTATTATTATAAAGAAAATTAGTACAATAAGATCCCAAAGATCTTTTTTAGTACAACGGTAACGGTTTTCCAGCAGAACGTAGTGGTAATTAGTGATAATTATCTATACAGAAATAAATATAATCTGCATGTCAAATTATAACCGTTGTATGTACATCAGACCGTACCAGCAAAAAGTTCGCGTACACCCCTGAGTCAAAGTATTTTTGAGAGGCAATTTCAAACAAAACAAGTAAATAAGTATAAGTTCGGGCGAAACCGAACTTTATATACCCGGCGCAGGTATCAAATATCGTTGATTTAACTTTCTCTAAACTACCTTGGCATGATAATCAGGACTGTTTTTCCCGATTTCAAACGTTTTCGATAATATGCTGAATTAGGCTTAATGATATAATTGAACCAAGTTTGGTTGAAATCGAGTCGTTGCCGAGATATACTTTTGTAGTCTATAGCAGTCTTATTTATTGTTAAGAGATTGTTGTAGCTATTAACTTGGAGTAAATTAGTAGGACTAGTAGGAGTATATTAGCAGTTTTTGAAATATTGGTGTTTTCGTATTTCTGAAACATACCGTTATATGGAAAGCTGGTGTAATTTTAGTCCGATTTGAATAATTTTTCACGAATTAATTTTCCGTATCAAGGTTATAAAGTGTACCGAGTTTGAGAGAAATTGATGAAAAGGTTACCGAGATACGCATTTGTGGTAATAAGTGATCGGCGCCACGCCCATTATCCAAAAATTTATAATAATCTAATTTTCAGCTAAGTGGTGATTGCAATCATCGATTTTAAGTGAATTAGCCTTAGTAGTTGCTGATTTATGGCAGTTTTCGTGTTTCTGTAAAACAGATTTCTTAGCTAGAAGCTAGGCAAGGCTCTTCCGAGTTTGGTAAGGATTGGTGAAGCGGCTATTGGGACACAGCATGTCATCATAAGTTTGCAAAAATTTCATAATTATATTATTTTTTGCCACAATTCTTCTTCACATACTAATTTTCAACAATTTGCATCCAATATTAACTGAAATATCGCAGTTCTTGCATTTTTCGAAAATACCGTTACATGGGATGTGGGCGTGGTTACAGTCTGATTTCGCCCATTTTCAATACCAACCTACCTNATTTAACTTTCTCTAAACTACCTTGGCATGATAATCAGGACTGTTTTTCCCGATTTCAAACGTTTTCGATAATATGCTGAATTAGGCTTAATGATATAATTGAACCAAGTTTGGTTGAAATCGAGTCGTTGCCGAGATATACTTTTGTAGTCTATAGCAGTCTTATTTATTGTTAAGAGATTGTTGTAGCTATTAACTTGGAGTAAATTAGTAGGACTAGTAGGAGTATATTAGCAGTTTTTGAAATATTGGTGTTTTCGTATTTCTGAAACATACCGTTATATGGAAAGCTGGTGTAATTTTAGTCCGATTTGAATAATTTTTCACGAATTAATTTTCCGTATCAAGGTTATAAAGTGTACCGAGTTTGAGAGAAATTGATGAAAAGGTTACCGAGATACGCATTTGTGGTAATAAGTGATCGGCGCCACGCCCTTTATCCAAAAATTTATAATAATCTAATTTTCAGCTAAGTGGTGATTGCAATC